CTATTTCAATCAAACTTTTAACAACATTTTAACTTTGTAAACATTTGAAGCGTTCACGTTACATTGTAACATAGGAGCCCTTATCTGATAGCAGATCACAAGTCTTGCATCCATTGAACTTGGGAGTTTTTGGACAGTTTCTGTTTGAATTTGTTTGCAAGATGTCAGAATAGCCTCCCAGAGCTGCTGTTTGGATGTAAACTGCCTCCCACCCTCGTAGATCTTTTGCTTGAGGATGCTCCAAAGGTTCTCAATAGGATTGAGGTCAGGGGAGGATGGAGGCCACACCATGACTTTCTCTCCTTTTATCCCCATAGCAGCCCATTGATGCAGAGGTATTCTTTGCAGCATGAGATGGTGCATTGTCATGCATGAAGATGATTTTATTACGGAAAGCATAGTTCTTCCTTCTGTATCAGGGAAGAAAGTGGTCAGTCATAAACTCCACATACTTTGCAGAGGTCATCTTTACACCTTCAGGGGCTCTAAAGGGGCCGACCAGCTCTGTTCCCATGATTCCAGCCCAAAACATGACTCCACCACCGCCTTGCTGACGTCGCAGCATGTTGGAACAGGGTGGTCGTCCACCAACCATCCACTACTCCATCCATCTGGACCATCCAGGGTTGCACGGCACTCATCAGTGAACAGGACTGTTTAAAAATTAGTCTCCATGTATTTTTCTGCCCAATGCAGCCGTTTCTGCTTGTGAGCATTGGTTAGTGGTGGCCGAAATAGAAGGTTTATGCACAGTTGCAGGACTCTGGAGGACTCTACACCTTGATGTCCGTGGGACTCCAGAGGCACCAGCAGCTTCAAATATCTGTTTGCTGCCATGTAATGGGATTTTAGCAGCTGCTCTCTTGATCCGATGCATGGATCTGGCAGAAATCTTCCTCAATGTGCCTTTATCTGCACCAACCCGTCTGTGCTCTGAATCAGCCGCAAATCTCTTCATAGTGCGATGATCATGCTTACGTTTTCCTGAAATATCGAATGTTTTCATCCCTCGTCCAAGGCATCGAACTATTTCACTCTTTTCGGCAGCAGAGAGATCCTTATTCTTCCCCATATTGCTTGAAAATGGTGCTCTGCTTAATAATGTGGAACGCCCTCCTTTAGTAGTTTTCCCTTAAATTGGGCTCACCGGCCAATCTAATTATCACAGGTGTCCCAGATTGTTTTCAGTGATCAAAAGAGCCCTGACACACAATGCCATCCATGAGTTACACTGAAAAACAAAATATATTTCATCTTTGTGACACTTAAATAGAATTTGCATAATAATTTGGAACACGGTGTATATATATATATATATATATATATATATATAAATATATATATAGTTAGTATATATATATATATATATATATATATATATATATACAGTATATATAGTTAGTATGTATGTGTATATATAATATATATATATATATTTTTTTTTTTTTTTTCCTTTCCTATAAGTAGAGTTTTGCTTTAAATAGGAATGCGCAGCCTCGCTGCTCTTTCATGCAATACGGCGCGCGTCACGCTGTGACCTTTATGTTGTTTCAGGCTTTCAGTGAACATGCGTCCTGTGATGTGTACAGAGATCCCCCGCTGATCCACTTCTTCTCTCCATTCCCATCATGCCCCTCTCCTCTGCTAGGATGCCCATTACGTGTGATCCCTGAGTGAGATCTCTGGTTAAACAAGGGAGGAACTTTCCTCCATTTTTTTTTTTTCCATCTCTTTTCTAGTGCTGGTGGCGTTACATAAAATGACCTCGCCGTGACTTTGCGCAAGTCCCATCATCCAGGAGCGTCCTGCGGTGGAGACTTATTGCAGAAGATCTGACGGGAATCCTGATTTTGGAGGAAGCTGTGCAGGTGCCTGAAACCTTCCAACCCAACCTTGAGGGCCCATTCATTCTCCTCTGTTCCTGTGCGCTGTATTATGTGCCACGCGTTAACATGTGCTGTGTTAACCTAGTTTTTTGCGTTTTACCTCCCCCCTTCCTGACCAGCCATTTTGTGCGTTACGGCGCTGTGTTATTTTGACTGACAATTGTGCGGTCATGCAACGCTGCACCCAAATTAAATTTACGTCCTTTTTTTCCCCCACAAATAGAGCTCTCTTTTCGTGGTATTTTGATTGCCTGTGCGTTTTTTATTTTTTGAACTATAAAAAAAATTAACAATTTTGAGAAAAAACAATAGTTTTGACTTTTTGCTAATAAACATGTCCAGTAAAAAAAATTTTAAAAATCTAATTTCATTATAAATGAAATGTTTTCTGCTCCGTGTCTTTGCTAAAAAAAAATCCCAATACGTGTAAATTTATTGGTTTGCGTGAAAGTTATAGCATTTACAAATGGCGGTATAGATACTGGGATTTTTTAAATTTTTTTACCAGTAATGGGGCGATCAGCGACTTATAGTGGGACTGCGGCGGGCATTCTAACACTGGGGGAACGGACTTGGTGTCACTGACATCCCCAGCAACACCAATACAGTGATCAGTGCTAAAAAAAAGCACCGACACTGTACTAATGGCACTGGGCAGGAAGGGGTTAACATCTGGGGCAATCAAAGGGTTAACTGTGTGCAGGGAGTGTTTTACTAGGGGGCGGGGGGTGCTTCACTGTAAGCACACTGCTCTGGATGGCGAGCCCCCTACCCGGAAATGCAAAATCAGTTGGAGGAAGAAGAGCGCTCCAAAATTCCAGTAGGGAGGTGGAAGAAACTCATTGATGGTTACAGGAAGCCATTGATTGCAGTTATTTTTTACCAAGGGGTGTGCTGCCAAATATTAAAATGAGGGTGCCAATAATTTTTTGTCCAGTCCATTTTTGGGGTTTTGCGTGGAATGTGTCAGATTTGGCTTTTTTTTGTTTCTCTACTGTTTTTGTGTCATACCAATATAAACAAAAAAAAGAAACATGAGAATGCCAAAGCATTTGTCTGACAGAAATGCAGGGGGGGGGGGGGACACAACTTTTCCGGCCATGACTGCCCATGTGGAAGAAAAGTATATTTGAAAATACTACAATTGTGGGCGTATTCAATATATTTCAAAATATAAAAATATATTTCAATAAACATTACATATACTGCATGTTGAAATGCGTTTTTTTATATTTATTACAAAATATATTAAAAATATTTTTAAAAATATATATTTTTAAAATATGTTTCTTCAGATTGTTTTTTAACACATAAAAAAGAAATTTTAACATATATATTTACATATATTTGTAAATGCATTCCAAAAAATGTAGATTTGTATTTTTAAAAATATATTTCAATAAACATTACATATACTGCATGTTGAAATGCATTTTTTATATATTACAAAATATATTAAAAAATATTTTTATTTTTAAAAATGCAAATCTACATTTTTTGGAATGCATTTACAAATATATGTAAATATATATGTTAAAATTTCTTTTTTATATGTTAAAAACAATCTGAAGAACATATTTTAAAAATATATATTTTTAAAAATATTTTTAATATATTTTGTAATATATAAAAAAACGCATTTCAACATGCAGTATATATAATATTTATTGAAATATATTTTAAAAAAAATATTGAATATGGCCAAAATTGTAGTATTTCAAATATATGTTAATATATTTGGGAAGAATATTTTAAAAATATATTTCAAAGATATTTTTCTTCCGTATGGGTGTATCTCTATGTCTTTGATAGAGGTCTGTCTCTCACTGAGTCGGCCTCCCTGGATGGAGGAATGGCAGTTACCAACGGTCACTTATACAGTCAATGCACATTGAGGAACCAAAGCGCGTATATCCATATCTCTCATCATGGTGGGGGTGGAGGACTCACCAGTACTATATCTATGAACCAACCAAAAAAAAAATAAAAATGATAATTTTTTTTTGTTATATTTGCTTGGTAGGAATGGCAGCTGCCATAAAATCAGAAAAAAGTTGCTTCCCAGTAAAGAAGTGAAACTGAACCAGAGGGGAGCACAGGAAAGGAATTTCTGGCTATGAAGGTAGTATGAGACCTCTGGTGGTATCTACTTTGGGGGGGGGGGGGGGGGGGGGGGGGGGGGGGGGGGGGGATTAATAATTACAGAACCCGGGTTCATTTTTCTTACTTTCTTTTTTTATTCAGCAGAAAACACGGAAAGAAGTTGTGAATGTTCTCCGACCGTCTCCACTCATCACCTGGAGCTGAATCCCACCAGCGGGTCCCATTAAACGGAGCTGAAGCTCCAGGAGGGCCATTAGGATTGTTATATGATGGCAATGAAGGGGAAATGTACATATTTCTCCGGCTGAGATGAACCACTCGGCGTTCTAATAGAGGTTTTCCCAACAAGAATCTCTATTAAGGTTTTTTTTAATTAAAATAAATTAAATATTGAATGTAACGAATAGAAAGAATTACATGCCGGTGAGGTATTAAAGTGGACCTAACATTAAATATATTTAGAATAGAATGCACATAAAAATCATAGGGGACAAATGAATATCAAGATATATAGAATAGAATGCACAGAAAAATCATATAGAACAGTGGAATCCCCAAAGTACTAAAATCTAGGGTGTAACCTAAGTGCACCATAAATAGAGGACAAATGAATATCAAGATATATAGAATAGAACAGGGGCGGACTGACAACTCATGGGGCCCCCTGGCAATAGGGGATCATGGGGCCCCTGTGTCCCTTGCCCAAACTCAAAAAAGCCTATGAAAAAGGTACCAGGGGCATCTCATGGGGCCCCCTACTGATCCCAGGCCCTCGGCGGTGCCCAAGTTTCCAAATGGTCAGATCCGCCCCTGTACATGATATAGAGATAAGCACTGGTCTGCTTCTGTAGATTCACGCCTGACATTCGCCCAGCCACCCACAACCCACATGTTTCACCTGTTTCATGTTAAACCTCAGACATGAAATATGAACAAAGCACATCCCTCTATAGTGTGTATTTGCTCAATCCAGAGCACTAAGTGTAATTTCTGTCGGCTGCCTCCAGGGGTGGACTGACAACTCATGGGGCCCCCGGGCAATACGGAATCATGGGGCCCCTGTGTCCTCGCTCACACCCAAGAAAGCCAATGAAAGGTACCAGGGGCATCTCATGGGGCCCTGAGCCCAGGCCCTCAGGCAGTGCCCGAGTGCTTGAATGGTCAGTCTGCCCCTGGCTGCCTCCTTCCTCTGCTATCAGCATGAATGGCTTCTGGAAAGTTTTCCTGACACCAAGAGAAAAATGGTGACAGGGTAGGGAGAGACCTCCAGCACACAGCCTGTGATTGACAGATTCAGCTCTGTTCAAGTGTGTGTGTGTGTAGCAAGGGTGGACTGACAACTCCTGGGGCCCCAGGGCAATAGGGGATAATGGGGCCCCTGTGTCCTTGCCCAAAAACTCAAACCACACCCAAAAAAGCCTATGAAAGGTACCAGGGGTACCTCATGGGGCCCCCTACTGACCCAAATGGTCAGTCCGCCCCTGGTGTGTGATTATCTTCCCTCCAATCAGCTTTCAGAGCTCTCTTCACTGAGCTCTGCAGACTGTAATTTCAGCTCTCCCGCCCCCTGCTTTCTGAACTCTCAGACAAGCTTTATAAATTCTGCACCTCGCACCTCGAACATATATGTAAGAAGAGAATATGGTAGATAAACAAGTACAACTTATGAAGCAGGATTTGTTTCATCTCTGTTTATCACCTGAGGCCAGGGCGGTCTGTATTTGTAGTGAGCGATTTGCACTAGGAGAGTGGATTTCTGTTCGGAAGGGCGATTTGGGTGGAGATGAACAGGTACAACTTATGAAGCAGGATTTGTTTCATCTCTGTATATCACAGAGGCCAAGACTGGATTAAAAATGCCAATTAGAGGTTAATGTCCCACATCTGTGGCTTTTTAAATTGCAATTAGTGTCAGTGTATAAATAGTCAATGAGTTTGTTAGCTCTCACATGGAAGCACTGACTAGGCTAGATACTGAGCCATGGGGGAGCAGAAAAGAACTGTCAAAAGTCCTGCGTAACAAGGTAATGGAACTTTATAATGACGGAAAAGGACATAAAAAGATGTCCAAAACCTTGAATATGCCAGTCATTACTTCCACTAAGAAGTAGAAAATTCAGGGACCTCTTGATACCAAGCCAAGGTCAGGTAGACCAAGAAGGATTGCAGTTACAACTGCCAGAAGAATTGTTCGGGATACAAAGGGAAACCCCGCAGGTAACCACAAGAAAAATCCAGGCTGCTCTGGAAAAAGACAGTGCGGTTGTTTTTGAAGGAGCACAATATGATGTCAGTGTATAAATAGTCAATGAGTTTGTTAGCTCTTATGTGGAAGCACTGACTAGGCTAGATACTGAGCCATGGGGATCTGAAAAGAACTGCCAAAAGTCCTGCGTAACAAGGTAATGGAACTTTATAAAGATGGAAAAGGACATATAAAGATGTCCAAAGCCTTGAATATGCCAATCAGTGCTGTTACATCACCTATTAAGAAGTGGAAAGTTCAGGGATCTCTTGATACCAAGCCAAGGTCAGGTAGACCAAGAAAGATTGCAGCCCTAACATTCACATCAGTCCCTAACCCTCAAGGAGCGTACAATCTAAGGTTCCCAACTCACATTCATACATACACATACTAGGGACAATTTAGACAGGAGCCAACTAATCTACCAGCCAGGGGTGGAGTGACAACTCATGGGGCCCCTGTGTCCTCGCTAACACTCAAACCACACCCAAAAAAAAAATCTATGAAAGGTATCAGGGGCATCTCATGGGGCCCCTACTGACCCTGGGCCCTTGGGCAGTGCCCTGAATGGTCAGTCTGCCCCTGCTACCAGCATGTCTTTAGAGAGTGGGGGTGGAAACCCAAGCAGGCACAGGGAGAACATGCAAAACTCCAGGCAGGTGGTGCTGTGGTTGGGTTTCAAACCAATGACCCTAGTACTGCCAGGTAGACGTGCTAACCATTTAGCCACTGTGCTGCCCCACACACCAAATAACGAAAAAATTCACCTGAAATACGATTTGGATCAAAAAACGAACCGCACATGTCTACAATCTGAACAAATGTATGAAGAAAGGTTTGAAACAAGTAAATATAATAATACCTTCTTAACCCCCCTGGCGGTTTTCCCGAGTGTAGCTCGGGGTAGAATTTCTATACCACAAGCGGTAACCCCAAGCTACACTCGGCTTACCATGCGGCGCTGCTCTGGGGGTCCCTGCAGCACTTACCTTGTCCTTCGTTCCCGCGATGTGTGTCCCCTGCAGCGTCCCCGGCCATCTCCTCCGGCCGATGCCGGCATCCGGCTTCTGTGTTCCGGTCCCCGTGACGTCGGGACGTACGGGCGCCGCCGGCAGCGGGAAATTTAAAAAATTTAAAAAATGTCATTTTTTTTTTTTTTCAATTTTAAATAGTAAAACATTGCTGTTTCATCCCATTTCACATACATTTTGTCCCGAGTGCTTTGTCCGGCGCCCTGCCTGCATTTTGTCTGTTCTTTCTGCCTGGAAACTTAGAAAAGTCCATGGCGTCCAAAAAGCGTCCCTTTACGTCAAAAGCGGTTTTAGACCGGCTAGAGAACAGAGATAGTAAATCAGAACCACTTGCAGAATTGAGTGATAATGATTTGTGGGGAAATTTTCCTAAAAATTACGAGAGCTTAGTTCCTCTGCTTGCCTGCTAAAAGGCATGTCAGGGAAAGCGTGTGATTTTGCATGCACTCCCAACACGGACAAGAGAGAATGAAGAGCCATAGCAGAGGCTAGATGGTTAGTACTTCTGATGGCAGTACTGGGGTTCGTTGGTTTGAATCCCAGCCACAGCACCACCTGCCTGGAGTCTGCATGTTCTCCCTGTGCCTGTGTGGGTTTCCTTCCAACCTCCAAAGACATGCAGGTAGGTGAATTGGTCTAAATTGACCCTAGTATGTGTATGTATGAATGTGAGTTAGGGACCTTAGATTGTACGCTCCTCAGGGGCGGGGACTGATGTGAATGTACAATATATATGTGCAGCACTGTGTAAATTGACAGCACTATATGCGCGTACCTGAAATACTAATAATTCTCTGGAAACTCATGGTACTTGCATTGCCATTCACTTTTAATGAGGCCACAAGTGAATGCAGGGGCACTGATGTGAATGTACAATATGTGCACTTAAATTGACAGCACTATATAAGTACTGAAATACTAATAATTCTCTAGAACACATGGTACTTGCATTGCCACTAACTTGTAATTGGGCCACAAGTGAATGCTCCTCAGGGGCGGGGACTGATGTGAATGTACAATATATATGTAAAGCACTGCATAAATTGACGGCTATATAAGTACCTGAAATAAAATGATACATTTTGGTACATTGTTCACTATTATAAAAGTGCATCAGAGTTCCAATCACAATGGATGCGTCATAGTTTGCACCTTAGCAGGCGTCGCGGTAATGTATGTTCTCCCACATGTTGGACCAACCGTTGAAAGATTGCGACACGCATCCCGAACGGTACGGGCAAAATATATATTAAACTTCGCTCTCTCTCTCCATAAAACCCATCTGGGACGGCGTCCAAGGAGGAGCGCGCTTCCAGCGTTTTTGTAGCCTTCACGGTTGATGTCATTGCAGCTTTCCAGCTGATTAACGCGCGTCGCCTTCGCCGTACAGCTGCGAGAATCACAATGAGGCCACGCAAGGTGGGAGCTCTGCAGTTACACTTCCCAATGATTTATCCTTCACAATGGGCCGTAATAGGTTCAGCCGTCCTTCGGGGCTGCGGCTGGTCTCAAAAGGTTTGAGATGAAAGAACTGAAAAAAAAAAAAAAAGGAGCGCAGACCCACCGGGGGAGTTTCGGAAATACAGATGTTCCCGCACTTCTGCAGCGGACGCCTAGCAAGCGAGAAAAAAAAAAAAATGACACCGGAACGCTTTATTGATTCAGCGAGCTAAAAAAAAGTCTCGAGAGCGCTGGAGACGCTTCCTCCGTCCGCTTCAAATGATTCATGACATGGCTACAAGATCAGGGGGAGCGACACCTAGGAAGCGCCGAATAAAAGGGCGCGAGCGCGCTCCGAATGGTGTTATTGTTATTTAGTTCTTTTATTCCGCAAACACGACGCCGTTTCCCGGCACTCTCAGACAATGCTGTCAAGTCGGGAAAGTGCGGCGGAAAACACGTGACGGCGTCAATGTCATTGATTAAATATGTCAAAAAAACGCAATGTACTGTAATTACGCCGCTCGCTAATTACCCCGGCGCGTCCTGACAGATTACGCGGATTTGGTATTTTCAGACATAATGACAACGTTTCTGACAGAAGTGTAGAGGGTGACAGCTAGGTGATGACAAAAACATCGGGCTCTATAAACAGAATCGCAGGGCTCGCTCAATTACCGGAGTCTGTCCTGAAGCTGAACTCTAGGCAGACCGGTAAATACACTGAGGAAACACAACTCTTCTACCTGTCAAAGGGGTTTTTTTTCTGTCCATCCAGTCCCAAGATTTATCCAGCTCTGTCGCCTGCAAGGATATGGGCATAATTCCCCATCCAATGCGTTTTGGGGTCCAAAATTCCCCTTGATTGTGAATGGACTAATACCTGGACTGGACCTATAAAGATATTTTGATTACAAGCACTGGTCTTCTCAACTTTAATCCCTTGCAGTACTTTTTACAGCCATTAGATGTCCTCAGTCTGATGGTCAGCATCATTCAAGCCACTTCCTTTAAGCCTAGGTTGCCTGGACCCGCCCCCCAGCCTATGAATGGACAGTAAAAATAGAAGCAGCAGACTGATGAGCTCATCTCTCTGCCACTCTGCTCTCTCCACCTCTCAGACCTTTGTCAGCTTAAGATCACTGCAGCAGAACTGATTGGCTCCTTGTGCTGCTTCTCCCTCTGCCAGTCTGAGCTTTGTGCACATCTTTAAAGACTGTAGGTTTTTGAATCTAAACTTAATGTGAAACATCCTGTCAGGACCTGGATCACCTGCTGGTGGCACTGTGATTCCCAGAGTGGAAGGTTGTAGTTTCTGGTGTCCACCAGCAGGTGTCTCCCAATCAATAGTAAGCAATCTGGCTAGCAGGGTAGAAGACTGAAACACAAGGGAATAGTAGAGGA